TCTAACCACGTGTACAGGGAACTTTTACCGTTGAGAGGTGAGGCCGCAGAGCTTAGGAAATCCGACAGCCGCTCGCAGCCTCCGCTAATTAGATCGTGCAAGAAAAATGTTTAAATAGCCGTAACTTAACCGTTTGACTCTTACCGCCCGACCGTAATCCTCTCGATTCGCTCGGATCGATAGAAATTGTGCCGCGAAAGAACCGATGCCTTTCTAAATACGTTTCGCGTTACCAAAGGACTCACGGATTTCGCGACTGGTAAATCCGACCTGCGTGACGACACCACTCCCACGAATAATACAAACAAAATTAATCGGTATTCGAAATGCAAAAAAAATCGTTGGTACACGGTCTTTCCTCTCCTGTCACGGACACCGGCGACGAGACAACAGTTTCAGCTACGTACGGATCGATTTCTTCGCTGCAAACGTGTACAATGTTTGCTCGCAGTTTGTTCTAGTTTTGGTGGAAAGGAGAAACGCGATGCTCAAAGTTAAATTCGACGCGATGGAATTTAGAAGGGGACACCTGACCGACGTCGACGTCGAGGTGGAATCGGATCTACCGAATCACGGAAAGGAATTTCAACGTTGATTGAAAGTTTTTATTCTATTTTTCATTGTGTCGCGATATTCGATTCGTGTTTAAAGTACGGAAAAGTACGCGCGAAACGCCTCGAAACACGTCGCTCGATGTTTTCATCGTAAGATCGAGGTCGACGGCAATCGAGGTTACTCGATGACGAGCGCTACACCGAACAAGTTGTTAAATGTCGATAGCGAAGACTTAAATGAATAAAGTCGCTTGAAATATTACCCCGATACCGCGCGAATCAATCCAATGTTGGATGAAAAAATAACTATGCGTTGAAACAGTTGCTCTTGTTTTCTCGTAGATTACATATTGTTTCTTCTTTCGACGAACCATCGAACGATTCGTCGCGAGTGAAATTTGATTTAGGGACACGCGCGTCCGCATTATCCGGCTATACCGTTTTGGATAATCGCGTCGATCGAACAGGCGAGTTGGCGCGCGAGAGATCCATCATTTCCTGTTTCCCCTTGGCCGATTTCGCGGGACGATCGAACCGCGACTTTGCCCTTGCGAAGATCCGCAGCTGTCCCTGCATGTTTACGCAGTCGTTGCAGTTTCGCGAGCCTTCGCCATCCAGTGCAGCGCCGCGACGCCTGGTACTCCCGCGGTCTCGTGCTCCGGTCTGCTCCAGAAACCTACTTTTTCGAGTCACCGTGGCAATGCCAGCCTCCGTTTTTCTCGGCTGTCCTCTCGCGTGTCACGGACCGCGTTGTTGCGTCAACGCCACCGGCAATCGCTGCTTTCCAACTTTTCAATTGTCTCGGCTTTTGTTTCTTCATAGTTAACGCTTCCACGTTTCCGCTTTTGACACCGTTCTTCCGTGTCAGTATAAAGTAACGTCTGTAGCGTACCGTTATAGCTTTTTAGTAAACGAAACTACAAACCTCAATGTAAACGTAAATATAATTACGACACAGGGGAAAAAGTAACGCTCGACATTTTTTTATCGTCGCGTCCCTGAAAGCTGAAAATTTGCACGATTCAATTGTTGCCGGTTATCCAACAACGTATCGTTCGAGGTTTTACCGCGATCGTCTCGTCATTCTCTCGAGACGCAACAATTTGATTCAGCTTTATTGGAAAATTAGCGTGGAAAAGTAGTTACTCGGCGTCTCAGCGGTGTCAAGGTACAACGGATTCGATACGCCGATTTCCCAACGCTTCTCGCGCGAGCGAGAACCTTATGTAATAGCGTAACCGCTCGATTGCATTGACTTACCTTGCACCGTGTATGAATATATCGCTGTTACATATTAAACGTCGTACGGGTGAAACGCAACTGTTATTTATCGGTCGCGCAGAGAACGCAGAGTCGCTTAGAGGCGATCGAACGAGAAAAACAATCCAGCGCAACGAAACGTTGAGAAAAACCTGGTCAATTTTCGGACTCGGCCGCGCGAAATGACTCCGAAAATTTTCTCGAGACTACGAGAACGCGACTTACGCTAAATTTTTCAAGCATCTTACAGCCGTCGCCGAAGACAAGTAGGCCGACCGACACGCACCGCAAAATCCAGCACCGCTTTTGTCTTACCGCTGCTCTTTCGAGCCTCGCTATTTCTGGACCGACCAGCCTTTTCGTTTGATCCGTTTCTTTTGCAACGGATCTCGACCAACCCTCGCGATCGTCTTTCGCACCCCAGAAACGCGCGGTACCGAATTAAGGAAGCCACGTGCCCTGAAAAAATAGGTCAGTTTGGAGGAGAACGATCGACATCGCTTACAATTTTAGCTCTCCGTACGTAAGGCGCAGCCGGAAGAAAGGATTACAAATTCTACGGGCATGCGAACGTACCCGTTCGATTCGAGGCGTCGATTCTCTGTTACGCGACGGATTTTCGAGAGCCACGGATCAAGCTTTTTTCGCGTAACACGTAAGCGATGTAACGTCACCGATGTACCGTTATTTGGACCGACAGTGTCAACCGATTCGTCTCTTTAACGCCGGGGAAATGTGGTACACGAAACGGTATCATTCGAGCCTGATGTCATTCGAGAGAACTGCACTCACTGCCGCACGGCTCGCGTCGATACTTGCCGAAATTTTGTCGACAAAGTTTCACCGTGGAAAGGTTCTAAAATAACGTTGCGGCAAGTTGTTTTTATCGTTAGAGAGTTTTAGCCAAAGTGTGTCGAGGAATCCAAACGGTTTGATACACGGCTATTTATAGGAACGAAGATTCATTACGCGAGGTCCCGTTTCACGTGTATCGGCGGCTCGTTTCAGCGTTGTGCAACCTCGCGGCGTAATATTTCCTCGCGCGTTAATGCTCGTGCATGCTAGGAGACTTGCCATCGAGAAAATTAGTTTTCGCTCCGCTAGGGTTACCATTCCTGAGTCACGAATCACGAGTCACGAGTCACGAGAAAAGAATGCACGCGATACTTTTTGTAAGATGATAACGTTTAAGATGGAAGCCAGAGGGTGGAGGTATACAACCTTTTTATGCCATTAGTATCGTAGTCGTAGAAAAAAAAATGAACGAAAAGCGAACGAAACGCGAGCGTACGATGAGGCGTTCGATTCGGATTGGTTCGGTTCGAGTCGAGCTGCGCCGCGCTTACGTAACAATAGTCTCGCGTCTCGTACACGTGCTCGCCACCACGTGGCCTCCGGTCACGTTATGCCGGCCGATATCTCTGAAAATGGAATTATTCTTACGTAGCCGCGCTGCCTCGTAACTCGTAACTCGTAACGGCAGCTCTATCCATCGCGGAGACCACGATGACTGACACGTGAAGATCACTTTTGGATCGTTCCAGCGACAAGGGCTCGATAGCGTTCTCTTTTAGCACCTGCCTCCTATTATTAAAAATTCTCCGTTATTCGTATCGACGTCTCTCACCGTAAACGAGTCTCTGATCTTTCATAGAAAATTCTTCTTAGAAAACGTTACTAGTGCGCGTTGCGAACAGACTCGAAAAATCGCATCCGATATCGTAAACATTCTTCCGAGAATATCATCGAAGATACGTTCCTTCGTTTGGTTCCAAGTAAACGAAGAGTTTTCTCTCGAGAGCGGTGCGGAACGATTAAAACTTACTACGAAAGCTTATCGAAAGGGGTTCGAGTATCGCGTATCCAATGAGCGAATGCGGGACAAGATATTGCACGCGTGTACGTATATAGTGGTATCGTATCCAAGACGCTAATTGTATGCTAGAAGCATTGCCATTATCTAACCATAACTACTCCCACCTAGATTCCAAACAATGCGACTGGACGGAGACCTTTAACAGAGTTATCTTGCCCAACGCAGCTGCTCGAGCGTGTTGCAACCCTGTGCAACGAGCTAAATTGTCGTTAACGGTAATTTACAAGACGCGATGCGTTCGTTCGTGTGCTCGAATCTAGAATGAATTCGCTGTTCTCGATGCATCCTGACTCGGTGACGCGAAATCGTGCGCCGAACGAGACATATCGAATCTCTACTTTGATATCTACTCGAAGGATGGCCAAGCGTTGTTACCGATGTTCGTTTCGATTGTTTTCATTCGAATCCTTCTCTCGAAAATGCGGACAAAATTATTGGGAACGAATAAAATTGCAAGAAAAGTGTCGAGCGAATTCAGTAGCAAGCTCGAGTTTCCTCGGTGTTGGATTTGCGCGAACGCAGTATAGTTAGCGAACTAGCTATTACATCACATATCTTGGTTGCAGTGGCAAGGTAGAGGTAGACCGTGAACCTAAGCGCAGCCTGGCACGTTGCGCGATTGCACGTGACTGGTTCCGCAAGCTGGGTCTTTTCCATTAAAATTTCCTTTAATAGATAAAAGGTTCCCTCTTATCAACGTATTCTTACTAAAATTTCTTAATCTATACTTTCGGTCTACTTTTGTTCCAAGAATCGAGAGACCTGTCGTTCCGAGCGTCACGATTTCATTCGAGGTAATCGCAGCAAGCATAGCAAAGACGGTCCGCGGGTGGGCGATAGACTCCCATGGATGCTGAGTCGACAACAGGTTTCTTCGTCCTCAACGTTCCATCGAAGGATAATCTTATCTAAGTACATATCAGCGTGTCGCCGCGATCCATGGAAGCTGGTGCATCGGTCTCTCGTTTCAATCTACTCCGGGATTACGTAATCGAATTCCCGGTGTCTGTTTCTTTCAAAGAGTCGATGTTTAATCGACTGCGTCGATTAAGCATCCGGTTCGGGTAAGTTTAGCGAGAAAGCATCGAATTTAAATATCGCGGTAAATATTCGAACGATCGATAAACCGCGTTGGTATCGTTTCGTTATAATTACTTAACGCGGCTAGACGATCCACTTACTCGAAAGACGCCCCCGATTGTAGGCAAAAGTGCTTGGAAAGCAGCTACGCAAGCGATTAGTCTATCGTCAGGTGCGTTCGATTCGAGACTCTTCGAATAGAGGTAAATGGCATTTAAATGCTTCGACTGTTTGATTTGAATAGGCATCTGTATTGTTAACGTAACGCATTACAATTTTGTTTTTATAGAAATTGCAGTCTCCTTTTACGTAGTACTGCTATTTAAAACTACTTTCATCGGTACGGATCGCTTTATAAAAATATGAAATATTTTGAATATACAAGTTATAGGATAAAATTGTTTTAACCGCAACATTAAAACGTACGGTCAGCATATAACGATAAAAATAAAGGAATCAATTTATCGATATCAAATACCGTGTACCCATAGAAGTAATAAATAAATAAATAAATAAACATTTTAGTATCTAATTTACAATCAATTCTATAAACGAACGAGAATTTTAACGAGTAGCGAGAGTCGATTTAATTTAAGCTCTCGCTTTACGACGTGGTTTGCAGTCACCGCGACTGTAGCAATTTCCATCGCTGCTGCACGATTCCGAGCAGTCGCAGTCGGAACAGCCGCACGACGACGACGACGACGACGAGCGTCCTGAAACATGATTCATTTTGCAAATTATCTTTTCCGGTATCGAATAAGCAATCGAATGAAAACAATTTGAAAAAGCGAAGGTTTCCAAGTTTCACCACATTTTCACGCACAAAATCCATTAGTTTAAAGTTCACGTTTCGCTACCGAGAAGCTAACACCGTCGAATTCGTAAAGTTAAGTTCAGCAACGAATTGAAACTCACTGGTACGACGAGACGGCTTCTTCTTCGTAGTTTTCGCGTTGGATGCCGTCAGCGTTCTGGCTGGCTTCCTCGACTTGTTCGTCTTCGCCGGTCGCGAACATCGCCCTTTTGCCTTGCCCTTGCTCTTCTTTCGTTGAGGAGAGATATCGCAGCCATCGCAGCTGTCGGAATCGAAGCTATCCGAATCGGAGAAAGAATCCGAAGTGTACGACGAACTGCTGTCGGTGCTGTCCGAACGATAGCAGCTACCCTTACGGCAAGAAGTCGACTTCCTGGTCGATTTCTTTGCGGAAGGTTTCCTGCAACTAAAACCAAGGTAGCAAACTCTTTGGCGACGAGTGAAAGCATTTATTTCAAGGTAAAGGTTCGTTCGTTTAAACGTTCTAATTTTAGTATTGCAGTCGTAAGGAAAACGATTCCGAACGATTGTTTCGAAGCATGTTTACACTTATACGTAGGTAAACAGAACTATCGAAACGGTGCTCGTTCAAAATTCCAACCGTCGTTCTTAACGTAAACGTTCGACTCCGAGAATGTCGAGCCTCGTGGACAAAAGGACGAACAAAAATTATTAAATTACAAAACGTTTTCCGTTCTTTTTTTATACTCGCTATACCAAAGCAACGTTACAATACGTATACCGAATTATTTTCATAGTTTGCGACGTTTGACGTGGAACACGAGAATTGATTTATTTTAACGATAAATGGGAAAATTGTTCGGTCAGTTTTTTTCCACGATTCTCGTAACAATGTTTTAGCTATTTCTTACCTCATTTTCCTGACGTTAAACGTTACGGTCGGTGCTTTATCGATTTTAATTTCCTTCGGATGTCAATTTTTAATATTTATTAGTTTCTTTGATAAATGACACGATCATATAAATACAAGCAAGGTGTACGGGTGAAAATTGTAACGAAATAAATATCACAACTACTTCCAAAAGATACGATTAGAACGAAATTTGACCGAGGAACGAGCACAACGCACGTTCGCTTCTCGCGTTCGGACACTCGAATGGTTCGTATCGTTCGGCTTCACCTTCCGGCAACCGTTCTTTCCGTTTTGTATACATTTCGAAGCCGCAAAAACAACGACGCGTTCAAATTAAATTACTTGAGTCGATCACCGTGTAACCGAGTAAACGGTCAAATCGAACAGGTTCGCGCGATTCGTTTTCGAGTCCCTCGACACTCGATTCGGACCACTATTGCTCTGAAATTTCCATCGTAACGCTACGCACGAGCGGCCATTCACGCGTCCGGATTCGTCCTGTCATCCGCAGTCGCGGTGGCTTTGTTTAGCGTTTCGATGCCAGTTCTGCGCGACAGATTGCAGATCGATGCGACAATAGGCTATGCATCGGATATTCCTATTGTTCCGTTAATTTGTCCTGGTAAATCCATTGTACCTGTTTCAACGGCGGTGGGAGAGCGTGTATTGCTCGTGGCTTCGACTCCCTCTTTCAGAGGGATGATCGGTGAAAATTTCGCGCAAAGGAGAAGTTACGCGATTCCATACGCTTGGCTGTTGGTTCTGATCGATGAACGGTTTCGTACAGTTTCATCGTCGCGTCGCCCTATTTCAACGCGTAATGCCGCAGATACGATCGGCGAGTATATCGATCCGCGAACGTGTGTCGATGTGAACCGATCCGTGAATTTGTCCCAGCTAAACGAGCCGGGAACGAGCGTCGATACAATCGTGCCTCGACTTGCGCAACCTTCGCCGAGGGTTATGACACCCCGGTTATGGCACCAATGCGCCAGGCCCGCAGTTATCGTCGAGCGAGTTGCACGTGTCGTTGATCGAAAGGTCCGACGGTCTCTCCGTGTCCCAATGGCGCAATCCCCGGCTGCACCTACACGCTTATTCATTTAGGATTACACAAGGTTGGTGGCGAACGCGAGCCCATTCCGTTGTCGAATCGTTCAAATTCCGACAAACTTTTCTTTCATTTTTCAAGGCGATTGCCAAACAATTACGAATCTATGAGATTCGCGTGTACGCGGAAATTCCACGTGCAACGGTCGGAGGTGTTAGCCGCGGTACCATTTGGCTCGCATCCCTAATTATCAGTTAACGTATCACGTATCTCGTTCACGTTCCTATAAATTAAATTTCGAGTCGAGTAAGTTTATTTTTATTTTGCAATCAAACGATCCTATTCGATCCGATCCGCTTTCCGCGATCGATAATGAGCACTCTTTGTTCGTCAGGAGTTCATAGTTGCTCCATCTATCGAGTCGGCTGGGATTCGTTAACGTCGAGGAGCTTGCCTCGTCTAAAGGCGTCGTAAACACCGTGTTACGTAATATTTGTACATACATCGTTTATCTTCGACGTCGACCAACGTATCGTCGACGAACTTGTTTTCGTCGACATTGCGTAATCTTGCATCGAATGTACCAACGAAGCGATCGAATTTATTTTTACCGGCAAAATTACGTCGGAAGTAAAATTAATGTGAAAACACGGTCTATATATACGTTACGCGTAATGCATAAATGTAAATAAATTTCGCATAAGATTACGAACGCCCTTCATATACGGATTTCGATATTCGTTTGATAATAAAAAGTAAGATGAAGCGAAACCGAAGCAGGCATTTTCTTTTATTTCAAAATGTCTTCCATCAGAGATAACGAACGTCGAATTTTTGAAGAATAGACGAGTCAATTAAGCTTCGCTTTGCGAATCAACTATTGCTATTGAACGAAACGTAAGATTTGAATTGTCCGAGTTCGATCGAACGGGCCATTCACTTTCGTTTCGTCGGGGTGATTGTACCGAAGCGGTCGCGTTCGAGAACGGGGGTTGAAGATAGGGTCAAAGAGGGTCGCGCAGTCGCGTTGACCATTGTCCACCTGGCGTATCGCGAATTATTCCTCACCTGTTCTCACCTGGTCGCGTTAACCGCGGCGCGATCGAGGCCCAAACTCGCCGAACCAGGGCGAAACACGCAGCCAAAATGAGGGGGACACGAGTCGCGAACGGGGAGTCCGGTGAGTATACTTTCCGTCCCTCGATCGACATTGTCGCGTTTCGTCTTTTACCGCAAAATAGAAATCGAAAGATAACGAGTCGACGAAAGAAGAAAATTTCGATGACGAAGGAGTTTCGAAGCGTTCTGTCGCGAGTGTCGGGTTAATTGTTTCGCAGCGAGTTCCGGATTTAGCAATATATATATATATAGCGAAAATTGCACTCTCGGTTCGCGTAGCTGGAATGGAAACAACGAGCAGGTGTTCGAGAGAGATTAAAAGCTTCTTGCATTGTTAATCGGCTCGTGTCGATCCGCGTGGCAATCGGAAGTTCCGGATCGATGAATATCGCGCGACTTCCTAGACGCTCTTAAGCCTTCTTACAAATTGATCGCCCGCGATGCTTTCTTTCTTGAGCGCGTCGAAAAATGCCGTAAAAATAGTTTGCGTAGAAAAAGAACGAGCAATATTTTTATTCGTTTACCATCATTCCTGCCGCGTAAAAGTTATATTCTCACGATTACACCCTCGTTCCTCCTCCGAGCTAAAGTATAAACGAACCGAACCGGACCGAATCGAAGAGTTCGCTTTGCCCTTGTAACGAACCGGAAAATGTCAAGGTATCGAAACTACCCGAAGAGCTGGTGCGTCCACCTTGCCCCGCGGCGCGAATCGTCGTGTCGCGTTTACGCGTAGTTGCGGCTAAATCGATACAAAAATTACGACGTTGAATTCCGGACGCCTAGGTAAGTTCGCGAAACGGTTTTCTTGAAAAAACTTGGCAGAATTCCGCGTCGTATACGTCGAAGAAGTTATCGTACGAGGCCACGCGAGTGATCTCCATGGGCATCGGTACCGATTGCTAGAGAACCGTGTATTATTTAAAAGCGAGAATCGATGGAGACTCGTGTGGGTCGGTCGCGATTCGAATCCTAGCGCTGGCGTGTTATGTTCCGCGATGGCGACGCGATACGCGTCTCGCCGCAGTCCGAACGAAGAAGTCTTGACCGTGAGACGGAACGATGCTCGCGCGTTTCCGAAATGCGTTCAGGTGTTCTCTGCCGAAATGCGGGACTTTCGAATTTCCAGGGATGGACAAGCCCGAGTCCTCCACCGCGGACGAGAGCAACGGGGATCTCGAGGACAGGGACCCCAACAGTTTGAACCAACACCTGCAGGTACCTGCTGCCACTCTCTTGCGATTAAACTCGTGTTTTTCAAACGTTACTACGCTTTTCGTTATCTGATTTAGTTATTACGTATGTTTATCGTTTTTCGTTTCTTTTTTTGATATTCTTAAACACACGTGTCGATACGTATCCAAGAAATCGGGCGAGACCGGTTGCTCGAAATCAGACGTACATACCTGGGACACAATTGGAAAACTCACGATACCGAATGCACTCGTTTATTGGGACACAGGTGATGTGGGATGACGTGATCGGAGAACCGGAAGGAATACGGAGCCCCGAGTGCGCGTGGCGTCTCAGCGGTCACTGCTTCCGACTGTCCAGGGGATGCTGCTACGTGTTGCTCTCGGTTCTCGTTGCTCCGTTGCTCGCTCTCTGCTTAGGCTTCACCTTCGCTTGCCTCGCGTTTCAGGTAAGTCATTTATTACCAATGGACTGATGCCGACCGACGCAATGTCGAGCGTTTCTTTTCGTTTCCTGGTTTCCCGAGACCATAGCTTGCGATTGCGATTCGAAGCCGCTTACTACTCTGCATGTATTTTTAAGTTTGTACGGTCGATCGAGTTCGAGTGAACCCTAACGATTGGTAACAAATCGGATTCGATGCGCCGTTAGACGATGCCAATTATCTATATTTATAGCGAAGAAACGTGTGCAAACCTTTCTTCAAAGGTCGCTACTCGTTATCGACAGCATGGAATAACATTCCCTGGTATGAAAACATTGCATAGCCGCGACAAGGAGAACTAAGAAATCGATCTTTCCAGCATATATGGTGCCTGGCGCCTTGCCTCCGCGTTTGGAAAATTACCTGCGCGGCGACGAGAAATTTTCTCACCGCTCTGACGCAGGCCATCGTGCGTCCCTTCATGGACTCCATCGGCTACTTGTTTCACAACATTCGGGTGTACAATCAAAAGCTACCAGATGGTCCTGCTCACAAAGAAGACGTCCTGGTGGTGTAAGATTTACCATCGAGAAATCGACCATCTACATCGTTTACGAATCATTCGAGTGCCTTCTGAGTCGACGGGTAAAGATTAACGTAAAATTTGAACAATATCGTTTTTACATTTTGTTCTTTGATCGATACATTCCGCGTTATCCAGCGTAACGATTATCCCCTGCTGCATCATTTAATCGTCTACGTCGCGGAGTTAGTCGAATCGGCTAGTCTTGAACATTTCGTGAACGCGAAAAAATTCTATATCTGTATCTATATCTATATAATGTTATAATGTTTTGTAAATAAAACGTGTCCCATGGAAACATTTTGTTTAGACTCGGGTAGTAATTCTTGAATTGATTCTATTTTTCCGTTTATATTTCCCGCAAATTCTTTAAATACGACGGAGGAATCATTCGCGTGAACTTAGATATCAGCCATCGACCGGTACAATATTTTTATTGAGTTAGAGGACTGATTAATGTAAATCGCGTAAGTCATTTAGATCGGCTCTTCGAAGTGGGGGAAAGTTGGACTACCGATAAGACGGTTTCGCGTATGTTGACTAGTTAGTTTTCTGTCGGCTCTTGTTCATAATGGCTGCCGTCGTGCAGAAGTTTCGTTCGCGATGTGTGCGGTTTTGTCAAAGAATTTCTTCCAGACGTATCCTTTTCTTATGCAAATGTTCTCGAAAAAGGAAAATTCGTTTCGAATACGAGGTTTTCTTTCGATCAAATCATTGTATAGTCGTTCGAATCATTTATTTAGTGCAAATAATTCGTTAGTTGGCGTATTATTCTTAATTTTAAACGATCAGATATATCGACTTCATCTATTCGAAGAGGAAAGCGTGAGTTTGCTTTCTTACCCTTTAAATTGCTTTGCTTTTACCCTTTGTTTAAATTCCTTTGTTTTTTATCCTCTTAACCAACCGACCTTAAGTAATGAATGGGATGCATCATTGTCCCATAGGAATGAGCAATACCATAATTGATAAAAATTATAGTTTATTATGCATAATATTCATTGCATTCATATTTTGCTATTGTATATCAAAGCATGAACGCCAGATAATGGACACGCGAATGATATCGCCGCGTAGCGGCAGCGACCGAACTAACTTTTTACATATAATCCAATTTTTTACTTTTTTCTGCATATTCATGTAATTTTACATCGTAACTATCATAATTCAACATCTAATTGTTGGTTTGTGTACTAATAATTGACTGATATCGTTTTTTAAATAAATAAAAATTCGGAAAATTGCAGCGCCATCTCTCGGAGAACTGCCCAAGTTTGTCGTGAAATAGTTTCCACCTCGCGCCGCTAGATGTAGCGCCCAACATGAAATTATTTAAAACGTAAATTCTTACTTTTCTCTGCATATAAATGTTATTTCACATCATAATTATTATAATTCAATATCTAATTAGTGATTCGTACGCTAATAATTGACCGATGTAAAGTTTTTTAAATAAAAGAAATTCGAAAAACTGTGACGCCATCTCTCGGCGAACTGCCCAAGTTTGTCGTGAAATAGTTTCCACCTCGCGCCGATAGATGTCGCCTCGATATAAAATTATTCAAAACATAAATTCTTACTTTTCTCAGCATATAAAAGTTATTTTACATCATAATTATTATCATTTAACATCTAATAAATCATCCATACGGTAGTAATTAACTGATTTTAAGTTTTTTAAATAAACGAAAATACCGACAAATGTGTCGCCGTCTAGCGGCGCGAGAGGGGAACTATTTCACGACAAACTTGGGCGGTTCGCCGAGAGATGGCGCCACAATTTTCCAAATTTTTATTTATTCAAAAAACTTGATACCAGTCAATTATTAATCCAATATTTCCTAAAATCTCGTAATGTCTTCTAACGACTCCTAACAACTCCTACTACCTTCTAACATCACAACAACTTCACAAAGTAGCAACGCTCAAAAGTACAACAAAGTGGCAACTCAAAAGTTCGGCGAAATGTGAAAAATCAAATGTAAAGTGTTAAAATGCAACTTTGTTGAACTTTTTGGCGGAGTGAAGTGCAACAATGTTGCACATTGAAAAGGGGGAAATTTAAGGGTAATGGTTCTAAGAAATGAAGCGAAATCACATCAGGAAATAGGGGAACATGAATGGGAAATCTACCCGAAAATAGAAGGAAATTTAAGGGAAATGAAAGGGAGTTAAAGTAAATATGCTTGGAAATGAAAGGAAATTAATGGGACGTCTGCCAGGAAATTGAGGGAAATTAAAGGGAAATGTGTCATGCAATGAAGGGAAATTAATGGGAAATGTGTCTGGAAAGGAAGGGTAATTAATGGGAAATGTGTCTGGAAAGGAAGGGTAATTAATAGGGAAATGTGTCTGGAAACGAAGGGAAATTATTATTTATTTCTGAAGTAAATGTTATTACAATTATTTGAAAATTCAGCTACCTTCGACTGGAAAGATCCGTTCAATCTTGAATCGCAGCTGACTCAAGATGAGATTCTGATCAGAGATCAGGTCCGTTCGTACTGCCAGGAGAAGCTGTTGCCCCGAGTAATCGAGGCGAATCGAAAAGAAATGTTTCACAAGGAAATCATGAAGGAGTTGGGCGAACTGGGAATTCTGGGATGCACGATGAAGGGTTACGGTGCCGCGGGCGTCTCTTCCGTAGCCTACGGTCTTCTAGCCAAGGAAATCGAGGCTGTGGACAGTGGGTATAGGTCTGCCTTCTCGGTGCAGTCATCCCTCGCAGCGGGTGCGATTCATATGCACGGCAACGAGTCGCAAAAGGACCGGTTTTTACCTAAACTCGGTACGTGTTTAAAAGAAAATACAAGCACGCGTGTACCAACGCGTTTCGTATCTTATAATCGTATTTCGTTTAACGAAATGAGCGACCATTCGAAATACTTACAGTTTCTGGCGAAGCAATCGGTTGTTTTGGATTGACCGAGCCCAATCATGGTAGCGATGTTGCAGGCATGGAGAGTAAAGCTACTTACGACGAAGGAAAAAAGATTTACAGGTTGAACGGGAGCAAAACATGGTGAGCGCGTCGATGTAATAACACTTTAAACGATACTTAATCCTGTCAGAGAATCATGTTATATTATTCAAGTTTTGTCTACACGCGCAAGTCACTCCGACGGTATAGAGTATTCAGTGTATGGATTCTTGCGATATACACGGAGCAAATATACTTTACCTGTACGGTACCTGTACCGTAGGGATCTAAAAAATTCTAAATAAAGGTGTGGTTAAACGCATCGTTTGAGCCAGGATCACAAATTCTCCGATTGCCGACGTATTGATCATCTGGGCGAAATGCGACGATGGGAAAATCCGTGGGTTCATCGTCGAGAGGAAGGGTAACGAGGGTCGCTTGTCCACGCCAAAAATCGAAGGAAAATTCTCCTTGAGAGCTTCCGTCACGGGCATGATTCTGATGGACAACGTGGAAGTACCAGCGGAGAATCTCTTACCGAACGCTGAGGGACTCAAAGTGAGTGTTACGTAAAGAAAGGTTTCGTAAAAGAATGGAAAATAAGGAGGGTTTGAAACAGGGCCCGTTCAGTTGTTTGAACAACGCTCGATACGGCATCGCGTGGGGAGCTTTGGGAGCCGCGGAATCTTGTATGCAGGTAGTCAGACGGTATACTTTGGAACGGAATCAATTTAAGAGACCGCTCGCAGCCAATCAATTGATGCAGGTCAAGTTAGCCGACATGATGTGCGACATCGCGTTCGGCTTACAGGCTTGTTTGAGGATTGGCAGATTAAAAGACGAGGACAAGTAAGAAAATACGTATCTACCTTATACCGAAACCATCAAGCTTATGAGTACAATTGCCGTTGTTATCCAACGTACGGTTTTATATATTATAGTTCGATACACGTTTTCCATAAATGTGCTTCAATTTTTTCACCCGAGTATTAGCAATTCTTTTTGACTCGGTAATTGTTTTCGATTCCTCTTTCGTCAGAGTTACGCCAGAAATGATCTCCATGATAAAGAGGAACTCGTCTACGAGAGCTTTGGAAATCGCAAGAACTGCCAGAGATATGTTGGGTGGTAACGGGATATCGGACGAATACCATGTCATCAGGCACGCGATGAACTTGGAGAGCGTCGTTACCTATGAAGGTACGTACGGAAGATCAATCGGGAAACAGTTTTTGCTGGCGAGGAATCGGAAAGTTGCGTACAACGTTGTTTCTTTTTCGCAGGTACGAAGGACGTTCATGCTTTGATACTTGGCAGAGCGATTACCGGCATACAAGCCTTCGGAGCATAAATGCTAAACGGATAACCAGTTTGATAACAGATAAAATACTACTATAAAATACTCTTGAAAGACGATGACGCTTACATGTATATACATTTTTGTATACCATTTTTGTTGTACCAAAATAATTTCTCCGAGAACAAAGGTTCTGCGTTCTACGTCTTTTAATTTAACGGTTATTTCGTTTCGCGATTCGTAATTTTAATCTTCCGACATCTCGAATGTCCTTTCGTTTGTAAATGAAACAATTGGGAATACAAAGGAACGAAAGCGAACGTCCAATAAATGACAAGACTACCAATCCCTCTTTCTCGAGTTTATTTAACTTAACTGCGAGCTCCCATGAATTAATGTTTATTTGACTAGATTCCGTTGCTACAACGAAGGCGTCTACCTCATCGCAAACCTTCCGACGCGCTAATCCTTCCTAAGTCTTGCTTAAAATTAAACTCTCCTTTAACAACTGACATTACAAACCACGCAAACCGAAGTTTCAGAAACCGATGCTCACGGATTTCGACGAAATCCGCGAAAGAAGAGGTAAACGATCGATCGCTGTTCGATCGAATCGCGTCATTTCCAGGGAGTAAAAGAACGATCCAAAATAAAATGTTCGTAGTTATGTCGACTTGCACAATTCACGTGAAAAATAAAACCGTAGGAAAAAAAGACGAAAGTTGCGCGTCAGCGAAGAAAAATCAAACAACAATCCGGGTGGCCTTCGGTCGTACGGAAGTTTCTTTCATTTTGTTATCTCTCTGTCTTTCATTTTCACCAGTCGACACCGTCGAATTGCACATTTATTTTTGTCCGTTGAAAGGGAGCGTGAAACACACAAGCCTCCTGCTTACTTTTTAATCATCGACAAGGGCGTATCACAACACAAGCGGTACTCCGATGTAATCATAAATAAATTAAGTTTAATTGCTAAGTAATAAAACGTTAATTACATATGTCAATTGATAATTAATTTAAGTACAACACACGTCTCGTGCAAAAGTGTAAAGAAGTTTCTTTTTTTCGTGCTACACTCAATTACCATTGGTTTTTTTTTTTGTTGTTTTTGGTTTTACGACGTAAGTTACTCTTCTTGTTCTGTCTTCTTTTGGTTGATTGGTTTGTTTACGTGTCTGTGTGTGTACGCGTGTGCGCGTGTGTATGTGTGTGTATGTGTTTTCTTTTTTTTTTTTTTTCGTAAATGGTTCTCGACTACAATAAGCTCTTGGTAAAACGTAGTAACATCGTAGTTTACAGTAGTTTACAGCCGCCCCCGTCCCTCGCGCGCGTTCCGATCTCGACAGAACTCGCGTGTCTATTACGTACATAATTCCGCGTTCTCATGCTGCAATCGAATTTTCCATCTAATAATTTCGATCGACGGGAGAAAGAACATCCTCAAATTTCGTGACTCGACGGCGTAGTATCGACGCTTTTTGGATCCCAGATCCTCGATCGTCGCCGTTCGATCGACGAGCGGACGCTAACAAAGTGGTCGCTTACAAGAAAAAACTACCCCCTCGTCGATCTTTCCGGCGGATCGATCTCAGCTGAAAAATTCGACTTCATCATTTACAAGTGTAATTCTTTTGCAACCGCTTGCGCTCTCCTTCTTTATCACCCCCTCCCCCGCCCCACCCCGTCCCGCCCCTATTTTTTTCGCAAAATCAACGACGCGTAGCTCCCTCGACTAAGTTTCACGTTCGTAAACTCTTTCTCTCTCGCATTCTCTCTCGATCACTCTCGCTCTTTGTACGCGTGTGTGTCTGTGTTTGTTCGCGTTTGCGTGTGTCGGTGTATACGTGTACGTGTCATTCGCTAATGAATACGTAAGTGTAAACAATAAATAATGTTTTCCTCTTTTACTCGCGTTTAATCTACGATCCTTTGGTATGTCCTCGCGGAGATTCATCGATCCTCGGTCACGCCTCCCTTCGCCGAGAAAGGAGGAAACGACCGCTGCCGAAGCGAGAGATCGATCAGTTTCCTCGATTCTCTCAATCTTTTAATCCGTCCGTTCGGCATTCTTCGTTTAGCGTGGCTCCGCGTTTCGTCTCGTTTCGATACGTCCCGCGCAAAACCTAAGCTGTGTGTTTCGACCCTAGCGGCGTAGCGGTTCGCGTTTAAAACTCTAAAAGGAGCCCCGACGTCGTCTCTCAGCTCTGTGAAAATCCTCTACCCGTCTGTTCGTTTTTCCTTTTCGGCTTGAGAGACCGTGCGGTCGCTCGCCGAACATTTCCTGCCCTGACGGTGGACGTCGACACGATGAACCCTCGTATTATAATAAATATAATAATGTATACTTGCTTTTGCACTTGTATTTTACATTATTTCATCTCTGATTAACTAATCGATACCTTATTGTCGTACGAACCGTTCACCTTGTTCTCGCTTCGTTCTTTCAACGCCCACGCACCACACTCGTGTGTTTTCTTCTGTCGTCTTTCGATCTTCCACCGATCCGATCAACAGATAATTAGTTAACGAATGGCCGCGAGACGCGACCACGGGCTCTCGGACATTTCTCCCTGTAGTCCTGAAGGGGTTTCTGCCCTGCGTTTCTCCCGCTGCTCGCTCGCGACGGATTCGAGCGAATGAAAAACGAAGCTTCGCAGCGTTTCTCGCGATTCGGCTATGTTTTATTTTACTACGAGTCCGTATCATTGTATTTTCGTCAACTGTGGTCTTTATTAAGCAAATTGTTATTCCTTTTTCGAGCAACATCGAACATTCAACTGTATCAAACAGAACTGTACGATACAAAAAGGACATTAAACCCGGCCTAATATAATCAAGTGGGATCGTTTTGTCGAGAAACGCATTGACGGTCTTCGTCCCAGAAGTCAACAACGAGAAACGAAATAATTCTAGTTAAAAGAAAACGAGCCTCTATCTACGAAACGAGTAGCCGAGACGAGGACAGAAACCGGTCCCCTAACCTCTCCACCATTTTTACGCGTGCTATATAATAATATAATATATCCCATATAATATATTACTCAACATTCGTCCAACGTTGATTACCTCCGCTCCGCATATCTTGCCGAGTCCAAGGGTTAACTTAATATCCCCCCCTCTCCTAACTTTTCTCGTATCTACCGATTTAAAACTCGCGCGCGCGACTCGCATCGTTGCAATATAAAAAAACGCGTATACATACACGGATCCGAAATAGATTCTCTTAGTCTCTACGTTTTATTCCCTTTTTTATCGTTATTACTATTATTTCTCTTTTTTCTTTAATATATATTTATATATTTATATTTATATATGTTCATTCACCTTCGTCTCGAGGTTCCTTCGCCGTATGCCACCGAACATCCCCTGAACATTCGTCGAATTGATACGAATCGTTACGGGGAATGGCGTACACTGCTCGGCGAAAGACCACGCTTATTTTGCACCCTCGCGGAATAAATCTTAGCTCGGAATTAACGGTTCGAGTATTTCTTCCGTGTTTCTGTTCGTCATCGTCCTCGATTTGAGACGAGGTACCGTGTATCGCTAATATTGTGTACTGGCTGTCTTGGAACGATACCGACAAATTAATCGAGCCGAGAGAACGAGGATGTCACGCGTATTATATTACAGCTTGACCGTTGATGTTACCGTTGGTGTAAAAAGCATCGAGCTAACGGTGCTTCGTTCGTCTATCTTCAAAGTTTAGATTGACACTTGGTCACGCGAATATTTTCTTCTAGAAACAGGATAAATCGATAATTGTTGCGATATGAAAATATAGCGAATAAATGGGGATGTCTCTCGATCTAGAGTTTCCTGAAAAAAAAAAACCTTCCTCTCGACATCTTTCTCTGCTCCTATTAATTTGTCCGTGTTATCTTCGAACCCTCGGTAGAACTAGGTCGCGCGTTATGTCTCGTCTCGCGGTCTTCTTCTAATTACACGTGTTCGCCGATCGTCGATCGATCGACACCGGAATATCCCGGCAACGACACCCCTCCATTCGATCGCTGGGCTTTTCGCTATACTAAATATATGTATCTTCGTCCCACCCTAGCCCACCCACCCCACCCCATATTCTCTAACTACCCCTGGATGCCTGAAAATGGCAATTATATTTATATATTTATATATATAATATATCATTCATTTATATTTATATTTATATTCATATTTATATTTATATATTTATATTTTATGTATATTTATATATATATATATAGTATATATATAATTATATACTATGTTCTTGCTTTAATGTTCTGTTTCGCGTGTACCTAGCGTGCGTGTCTTTCGGATTCCAATTTTATTTACGATAACGCAACCCTTTACGCCCTTGACCTTTCTCTAATCCTATTTTAATCGTTTTTCAACTCGATCGCGATATTTTATTACTGTTGTTGTTGTTGTTGTTGTTGTTGTTGTTGTTGATGCTCCTGTTGCTGTTACTGTTGTGTTTGTTCTGTTCACGACCCGTCAGCTCTTGTCAGCTCTAAAAATTTCTCGAATAACTGTGCTAATTAAATTTCCCCTTAATCTCAGTTCTGCATTCCCCCTGCCCGGCCTCCCCGCCCCACTTTCACTCTCTCTTTCTCTCACTTTAACAAAGAACATGTTTACGGTATACTTACATAATAATCAATCGTCTCGTTACAGGAATAAAAATCGCATTAATGGCAACAGGAATAATACAAATAAACGTAATAAGAAGAATAATAGCGACAAAGGTGACGATGATAACGGCGTAATTGATAATCGCGATTAATCGTCTATGTACAGGCTTATCGTACGGATAAAGATCCCTTCGCGCGTCGTTTCGTCCGTGTTTCGTTCTCCCTGCGACGTCTTCCCCTCGAGTCGGATCGCGACCAACTGAGCGCGCGAGATCTTTTCCTTGTCACGATGCGACCATCGCCTTTATGCTCCCCCCGCCCTCCCCTCCCCGTGGCTTGCTCTACCGCGATATTACATTCAAGGGTTGAAACGGACGAACCTCGGGCAACATCCTGCTATTACGATCCATTTTTTATTTGGAAATCTTGCTCGATCCGACTTTTGCTTGGTATGTAAAAATTCTACTTTACTTCTTAAACTTCGCGACCACCCGCTCGTTTCCTCCCACGTAGATTCGTTATTGCTTTGGTTTTCATTTTGGTTTTAAATTCACAAATTTTGCTCTTTTCTGGATCTTGCGAATACCATCATTCAATGTCCGCGAATGCAATTTGGCTTTGCAACTTGTTACGTCACTCCAAACTTTTCCGAGTCTCCTCTAGTCTGTGTATTCGCGATGTTTGATCTATTGCTATAGCGTTGAAACAAGATCTCTTTTTCCTTCCGTCCAGAAAACATCTATCCATTTCCTTTCGCTCCCTGTTTTCCCGATAATCGGTAGTACGGTACCAGGTCCTCTGATCGACTTCGTTTTCAGTTGTTTTGTTGCTCCGATGTCGCGTACCTCTCGAGAACTGTTCGCTGTCCGATACCTTGCGCAGAGCAGATGTTGCGCAACCGACGAAAAAAGTGGAGCCATCTTCGAATGGTGAGAACCTCGAGTGTAACATCGTCGCGCGGGTTACATCGCGTCCGACAACGAGACGGAACCACGCCGGACGAGGAAACTTCTATGAAAACTCGACGCTCGAAGCTATCGCCCGCTCGCGACCTCCATTTCTCCTTTTTTCACGCGTCACTTTGAAGTTTAAAGTTTAAAGTGTAAAGTCACGTTCCTCGACCCAATGGTCGAAACGTTCCTTCTCGTATCACCATTTTCTTACACACCCCGTTGAAACAGCGACGCTCCTCTTATATTTAATTTAAACTGTTATTACAATAATATATGTTTACTTTGTACTATATATGATCTTATAATCGACGGCCGCGACCCGGTCGCTTCCGTTTCCTCTGTGGTTTCTTATTTTTGGTACGATAAGTTTAACGTTCATCTCGACGCGGTGACCTCCGGACAAACCGACGTTTCGCTCACTGGCCAGCTTGAAATTCGATTAAGAAAAGAAAAAGGATACCGAGTATCCTTTGCGCAAACAATCCGATGAACGCAGAATTTGAATCCCTGGGAACTCGAAGAAGCTCAAAGCTCGAAACATCGACGGACATGTCTTTTCAGTTTGTTATTTCGACGCTTCAACGTAGAGATATAGTATCGACTAGTATAGAAGATTCTTATTTTAGCGCATCTTACATCGGGCCCTCCTACAAACAACTCGATGTCTTCGCGAAACATCGATGATTCCAATTTAGATGGTGAAAATAATCGAGAATTTTCACAAACATCCTAAATGTCATAACTAACATTCGAGCACTAAATATTTAGCAAAAGTAAGCAAAAGTATCTTAACGTTGTTCATCGGTCGGATTCAAAGAGAAAAGGAAACAAAAACAAAATACGCAACCATGTACGACAGGTCTTCGATAAAGATTGCTCGATTACTAATGTATAACCGTTGCTCTTTGACTTGCAGACAAATATTTTTCAGATATTCCAAAATATTTGTAGAACCCAATACCGTTTCGAAGTCGAAAATGAATAACTTTGCGCGAAGGAGGTCCCGGTGGAGTCGCCTGTCCACTTAAAAATAATTTAATAATCGAACGCAAAACAAACGTAAAATTTTTCAAGACGAGGAACGGTTCGCGTGCAAGCGGGAAACGCGAAAAGAAGCCACCTCTTTTCCTTACTGAAAATCGGTGGTTCTTTTCTTTTCAGTCTGTTCGATCACTGCTCTTTCACGCAATCGAACGCCTCTGTACGTGTATGTGTGTATGAGTGTATACGTGTGTGTCTCTTTCTCTCTCTCGCGTGTCGCTTCTCTCGCTCTTTAATATGTACAATAGCACAGCACAATTACGATTCGGTATCGAGTGCGGTTCATTAAGTCTTTCGCATGCTCGCTCGCTCTTTTTTCCTCCCTCTCTCTCTCTCTCTCTCTCTCTCTCTCTCTCTCTCTCTCTCTCTC